ATCTTCGCCGACCTTCTCCTCCCTCGACCAGCCGACATTGACGCCGCTTGCTCTCCCGCTTCCGTTCGGAAGTACAGGGAATTGCTGACTCAAGCCCGCGCAAATATGCAAAAGGCTCAAGTCCGCATGCAGCAGCAAGCCAACAGGCGTCGCGTGCCATGTCCCATCCGCGCCGGTGATCTGGTTTGGGTCTCCGCGGAAGAGTTTGCACTGGAACAGGATGTTTCACGCAAACTGCTTCCCAAGTGGTTTGGACCATGGTCTGTGACATCAACCGCGGGCGATGAGCCCGATGACCCTTCATTTGTGATCAACATTCCCGAGCATCTGACGGTCCATCCAGTCTTTCACGCCTCGAAGCTGGCAACATACACGCCAGCTAAGAGCGACGACTTTCCGGGCCGACGATCGCAGGACCCTCCATCTATGGATGGTCATCAGGAGGTTGACCGCGTCATCTTGGATCGCAAGTACGGCAGCAAGCCGCGACAGTACAAAGTTACATTCAGAGCATGCGATCCCGACGACACTCGGTGGATTTCAGGAGCAGATTTGAAAGCATCCGCACCGCTGATCTACGCTCACTATGAGCGTCAAAGGTTAGCCAAGGGAACCCCACGACCTGCCCCTCCCACCCGGACTTTGGTCCCTCCCTCAGACAGACAGCTTCGCCCTCGCAGGTAAGCTCGGTCTTTCAAGGAGGGGGGGGTGTGGCATACTGTGTAGCCACACGGGCTTGCAGGGCTTGCCCCGCGGTCTCAGCCTAAAAGCCTAGAAACAAGGGCTTACAGGCCCCGTGTCCGTCTCAGCCTAAAAGCCTAGAAACAAGGGCTTACAGGCCCCGTGGCTGTTTCAGCCTGACGGCCTGAAAACCAAGGCCTACAGGCCCCGTGCCTGTTTCAGCCTGACGGCCTGAAACCAGGGCCTACAGGCCCTGTGCCTGTTTCAGCCTGACAGCCTGAAAACCAAGGCCTACAGGCCCCGTGTCATTTCAGCCTGACAGCCTGAAAACAAGGGCCTATAGCCCCTCAGGCTTTAGCCAGAAGCTACCTGGAAACTTCCGGAAGCTTCCTCAGGCTTTAGCCAAAAGCTACTTGGAAACTTCCCGGAAGCTTCCTCAGGGTCTAGCACGTTTGGGCATTGGCAAGAGCAGCCTCCTGGACGGGCCAGCACTATATAAGACTGGCCCGCCCTACAGGCAAGGTAGTTGGACATTAGTCAGGTGGTAGTCTTCAGGAYAGCGGAGCAGCACTCAGGAGRAGCGCTGCCCAGGGCAGCKTAGCGYTAGTGGTAGTCTTCAGTGYTGGGCGCCATAGCTGTAGTCTTCAGCGCTGGGCGCTATAGCAGTAGTAGTWGTAGTGATACAGGAGAGGGATGACTGGCGGAGGCCAGTGGTACTTACCTGTGGCGCCATCGCTCCAGCTCCATCTTCGAGGTACCTGCATCAMAGCGCCACCTTCACARGTTAGTACTGGACTRAGAGAGAGAGAGAGTTCTTCTTCTTCCTCTTCTAAGTCCACCATCTCTTCTTCCCCTCTCGCTGCCTACTTCTCAGTATCTGTGGACTACGAGAGAGAGATGTGACCTGAGACTTGAGGACATTGGATACAGACTCGACATTTGGGATTCAGACATTTTGACGAGGGACTATTTGGGCCTGTGCCGAAGACTTGGTGTTGACGACATTCCCATCTTTCCCTCCTCTTCGTCTCATCCCCCTCTTCTTCGTCTGTGTATGTGTGGGGCTGGCGCAGTCTTCCTGTGTGAAGCTCCAGACCCCTTTCACACCCTGGGACGATGATGATGATGTATGTTCAAGGCTGCATTGTAACATTGATTGTTCGGATCATTGGTATCTAAGTCTTCCGTTTGCGCCATCTTGTACTTTGTATTGAGAGGTCGGTTGTTGTTCTGGTCTGCATGTTACAGTATGCAATAGTAGGTCTATAGAATAAAAGTCTTAGCAAGTTCCAGAAGTCTAGCTGTAGTCCTTCTAGAAGGTCGGCAAGTGGGCAAGTGGTCAAGTGGCGAGGCAAGTGGTGGACTAAACTGCAGTGCAATCATAGTACGACTACGGTAGGATAGCAGTGAGTCCACAATCAGTCAGCAGTAAGGTCCAGTCAGTCCCAGTCCGGTCCAGCAAGTACCACGAGGGACTGTGAGCACCATGGGCCGATGACAAAGGGCAGACCAACGAGTTTCCGAAGTATAAATCAAGAGGTAGCGCCCAGCCTTTCATTCATTCCTGCGTGAGCCATGCGGAAGCGCTGCCACAAGCGACTTGTGCAAGGAGGTCTGCAGATGAGCCCGAAGGACGTAGTGGGCGAGAGAGGAGGAGCTTAGTATAGTGACAGGGTAGAGGCAGCCATAGCTGCCATAGCTGTAGTTAGTGGGAAGTGTGTGTGTGTATGTGTGAGTGTTCAGAGTGATGCCTGTGGGATATCCAGGGTGATCCGGTGTGTGTGAACAGTGAGTTGTTTGGGCGCTGAGTCGCCATAGCCAGTTGAGAGTGAACTCGTATCTGGATGCTATATCACTGAGTTTTGAGTGGGCGCACGTCACCAGTTTGTTGCGGTGCTGTTTACATGCATGAAAAGTGTGAATGAGAACGAGTCTGATTGCAGTTGTGTTGCTCATCCTCTTTACACCATTCTCTCTCATGCCATCTCCCTCCTCCCCTCCGCCATCCAGTGCGCCGTATACAGCCCTCCTCTCTCGCACCATCTCCTCTCTCGCACCATCTCCCTCCTCTCCCTCCTGCCATCTACTGCCCTCCTCTATTCCGCCATCCCTCTCCTCCTTCCCGCCGTCTCCTTCCTCCTTCGTTGTCTTGCTCGTCCTCTTTGCACCAGACTCTCTCGTGCCATCTCCCTCCTCCCCTCCGCCATCCACTGCGCCATACACAGTCCTCTGAAAGGATTCAAGCTGCAGACACCCCAGTCCCGGTCCTAAAGTCCCGAAGTGTCCCAGTCCCAGGCTGTCCCGGTAGGATAGGCCGTAGGGTCTGTAGTCCAAAGAATCGTAGGTTGGAAGGTGTCGGTACCGAAAAGTCCTAGGTCAGTAGAAGTCTGTCCGGTACCTGACAAGAAAAGTCCAAAAGAGTCCAGTTCAGGCTGACAGTTTTAAGTCCAATTTGCAGCATGTCCCAGGAAAGTCCGGAAGGTACCGGAACGACAAAATGTTTGTAGCAGACAGGCCGCGGCCGACCGGTACCGGTCTGAAGCAGGCGAAGCCAAGCCTAGTCCTATATTTAGCTGCTATAGTGCAGCGGCTCATTACTTGTTCCGTTGCAAGATGCGGAAGCACTGCTGCTGCTCGTGCATTCAGGCAACTTGGGCACTGCGTGCCTGAAGGAGAAGAGGGCGCTTGGGCGTTACTCCATAGCTAGGCTAGAGGTAGAGCAGGAGGACGGCGGCCATAGCCGCCAAGGTGTAAGCTACCTGAGTGGGCGTATCCAGGGTGACGATCTGAGAGAGAGAGAGAGAGAGAGAGAGAGAGAGAGAGGTCTCTTATACACATCTAGATGTGTATAAGAGACAGCGGT